CTCTCCATCGAAATAACTCAGTTCAACCTTAGGTAGCTCTGGGCCAACAACATGGACTATAGGCGACATGCTCTTTCCTAGTAACTCAGGCCTTTGCTCCTCCTTTAAACTAAGATTTTTTACATCATCTGACCTCCAATTAAGGCTAGAATCACTGCCATGATAATTAACCCTATTTAAGTCTGAACCATGACCCTTAAGGACGTCAAAAGGCACTTGCTTGACAATAGGGGATTCCTCGTTAACATCGACGAACTTTGAGCCTGATCTCCTTCGACGATTAACTGGCATTATAAGCGAAACAACCAAATATTTCCAGAAAATCCGCGAACGATTACCAAAGGATTTCGGCCAATTAATAATTGTTTAGAACTGTAGGATCCAAACTACGGTTTGGATGTTGAAGAATAGCCGACCGGGGATTTTAGACACGCGCCCTTTCCCGTCGAAATCAGAACAAGTAATCGGGTAACTAGCGGTTCTAAACAAATATTATCACCCGGCTATTCAACCAATGATTGTTCAATTAATTAAATCAATCACAACAAATCAACGTTATTCTATCCTGGCTGGATAGATCACACACAACAGGAGGAACAAATCAATATGGCTACCGCCAAGAACAAGTGTCAAGTAAAACAACACAGATGCAGTTCAGGAAGAAACACAAACTTAGTGAATGCGTAAGAAAAACAAAAACTATAATAAAAAATACAAGTATTAACAACTCAAATGTAATCAAAATACAGCAATGTACAACTAAGAAGATCAATAGGAACAAAGTACAAGTATATACATGGAGGGATTTTCACCAACACATAAAACCTTCCAAATGGATCTTACAATAGACCTAATTCTAAATTTGTAGATTCGTCATGATATAACTGCCTAATCTATAAGATCTTACATGGAAGTCACACCATCGACTACATCAACTCACTGTATCGTATCAATTACCAGTACATTATGTAGAACAAGGTTAGGCTAGAGAAAGAACTATACATTTAATATGAATAGAAGATATAAGATAACATTCAGCAGGGACCACGCCTGCATGGCCGAGCCATACCGTTCGATCAACTGTGATTCACTCCGTTTAATTAATTATTCGCGCCTTCTCCACCGTTAGGTGTTTCTTCGCGTTAAATATTGAATATCTATTTTCCGAGTAATCTCGTATTCAGCTTTGAGGATTGTGTGGTTATGGTCCAATGCCACTACAAATGAACGGTAGTTCTACAAATCGACTTGATGTGTTTCATTTTACAACACTCGGAGCATATAGTATGACGAAGTGCACACGAACTACATGAATGAATTTTACCATATGACGAACATTTACCGAACTCGTGCTCACCCTTGTTTACTGCTTTGCAATTCTTCGAGAAATTGATTCTCATGTTTTAATGCAAATGGGGATAATCGTTAATTGAACGCCTGTCCATATGAGCTTGAGTACTAAGGATATTAGGACAACTAAGTACTGTAGTGAAATTCTTGATATCCTGGAATCCAGCTCCCTTCTTCTGAATATATCAGTTATTTTCATAATATGTCTTCAAACCCGTTTTGTCCATAACTTATTTTGTGACTAGGTTTTGTATCTTTCATTTATAAGCTTTTTGTGAGCAAAAGCGGTGTCAAACACTTAATATTGAGGACATTCCTAAGAATCTTGAAGTTTAGTGCTGTGTGAATCATCATTCAGAGTCCTATCTTATGTTATATATTTATTATTTATCTCCACTAGAAACTCAGTTATGCGGCCTATCTTTTTGTTGACGAATTAAAACTATGAATAGATATCAATTTTAAAGTGTTTAAAAAAATTAAGAGATATCTCTAAACACTGCGAACGCGAACAAGTAGAAACGGTTAAATTTCAACGTTCTCGAATATCATATTTGTAATGGCATTGAACCTTAACCACACTACGCTCAAAGCTAAACACGAAACAACTGGGAAAATAGATATTCAACATTTATCGTGGAGAAAAACCCAGCGATGGAGAAGGAAGGAACAATGAGTTGAATGAGTTCAAATTGATCTGATGGCATGGTTCGGCCGTGCAGGCGTGGTCTAACTTATGTAACGTTATTTTTATCCATATTAACCATATTGTTCTGTATCCAGTCTGAGTGTGTTCTCTATAATATATTAGTAATTGTTACGATATGATGAATCAGTGTAGACAATGATGTGACTCCCACGTAGGACCTTATAGATCAGACAGTTACATCATGACAAATTTACAGTTTTAGGATTGGTTCTATTGTTAGAGCAGCACCAATATCATAGTAGACCATAGTTCTACAAATTGCACAAATCTATACTCTTAAAAAAGATGGACAGATAGGCCCAGTTTTATTTACGAATCAGTCGGTATATCAACTGAGCCTGATCTTTGCCTGGTACCGAATAAAAAAATAATCAATCCAATGTGAATTCAAAATATAGTAAGTTATATTTTATAGGCAATAGTGTTGATTATACGGACAGTTGAATTGCTGAGTCTAAGTATATCAGTGGTATTCGGAGTTTGAAGTTTTTACACATAACGCCTTTATAATTGAAGGATATCAGTTCAGTCAAACCAGAAGTCAGAAATTTAGGAGTCCGGAGATATATTTCGAAAGCTATTGATATATCGATAGATTTGGTTTAACTTCGCTAATAGATGAAAGGGATGTGTAGCACGACGTACCTACTCGTGATCTGGTTCTATCGCCTGAACGAACGCCTTCAGCTAGGGTGTCTTCAGTAAATATAGTGATGTCAGCGTAACTGTTTAGTTTGAGAATCTACTTATCACTACATCTCACCCACCCTAATAGGGTGGTGATGGCATTAAGATGTGGACAACCAGAAGTTTAAACCCCACGAGCTTGCATTTGGTGAACACTCTTCTGATAGTTCTTATGTCAAGCAGCATGCGGTTGCCGTTCCTTGACTTAAAAATCCATGTACTATACTCACTTTCTTACGCCTGTTACTCCAAATGGAGCATAGACGACCGACCAACATTCTCCAACTCATTCTGTCCTGGGGCTTCTTTTCTAATTCTATCCAATTTTTATCCATTTCTCTCATATCTGTCTCCATTTCTCAGCGTAATGTGGTCTTTGGCCTTCCTCTTTTCCCTCGGCCTTGAGGACTCCATGTGAGGGTTTGCCTTGTGACACAGTTGGGTGCTTTACTCAATGTATATCCTATCCACTTCTGGCGCTTCTTCCTGATTCATTCCCCTGCTGAAATCTGGTTTGTTCTCTCCCACAATAGATTGTTGCTGATAGTGTTTGGCCAACGGATCCGAAGTATTTTTCGTAGACAACTGTTAATAAACACCTGTATCTTCTTGATGATGGCTTTACTAGTTCTCCAAGTTTCCGCCCCAGTAGACAGTAGAGCTGTCTTGATATTTGTATTGAAAATCCTGACCTTCGTGTTGGTTGACAGTTGCTTTGAGTTCCAGATGTTCTACAGTTGTATATATGCTGATTTGCTTGGCCGATCCGCGCCTTCACATCTGCATCAGATCCACCGTGTTCATGAATGATGCTGCTCAGATATGTAAAGGTATTTACATCCTCTAACTCTTCTCCGTCAAGTGTGATTCGATTGTTGCATGCTGTGTCGTGTAGAAGAATCTTGCTTTCCCCTTTGTGTATATTGAGACCTACTCCCGCTGAGGCTGCTGTTAAACTGGTCGCCTCCCCCTGCATTTGTTGTTGCGTGTGTGATACAAGAGCCAGATCGTCCAGTTGCATCCTAGCTGTCCAGTGTATCTCATGCTTCCCCTCAGATGTTGACGTCTTCATGATCCAGTTGTTCACCAAGAGAAAGATAAAGAGTGAGAGTAAGCAACCTTGCCTGACACCTGTCTTTACTTCGAACAAGTCTGTCAAGTGTCCTCGATGCACGATTTTGCAGTTTAATTCATCATAGGAATTCCGTATGATACTGAATATCTTTTCAGGCACGCCATAGTGTCCAAGAAGCTTCTATAGTGTTGTCCTGTCTATGCTATCTAATGCTTATTCGCTAAAAACACTGAGCGAGCACATTTGGTATAAAATAACAAAAAAAACATGTGAATTTTGTCAGTTTTCTCGTCTTATCTGATCGTCGTACGTGCAGTACTTGTTAAAGTGTGTAGGATTAATTTGTCCTACAGATATTCTACTAGAAATGTAAACGCAATATTGACGACTCAGAGTCTATACAAAAGCCATAGTTAGAACATGGACCACTTGGCTTTTGACTTTATCTGTTTCTAAACGTAAAAATTAACCGATTGGTACAATATTTAAAGGAATTATAGTCATTAGGTGAAACTCGTAAACATACCTACCAGTATTGCGTGTCTTATCGAAATGAATAAAAATTATGGGTCATATAATAGTACAGTGATGTCCTTCACTAGGAAGGTCACATGCAGCAGGGATAGTCTACGGACACATCAGACGAGATGACGTGGCGGGGGTTTAAGTAACGATTCTATTGGTTGGTTATGGGCCTAACTAACAAAGCGTTCTAGAAAACTTACTCTTCCTCTAAAGAACGTTGTTTTGGGTCGGTTATCGGATGTTAGAAAAGTTTATCTGCGGTCAACAATTATTAGCTATGGCAGAGTAGTCATCGAGTTTCTATCGTTCTATTGTTTAGGAGGGAAGTCAACATAATTAAGATTTCTTTCTAAATAAGTGACTTTAAGGTATTCTATGCTAATGTAATCGTGAGTTCCACAATTGGTTTGTACCGCTTATTGACCAATCCACCTAATGCTCACTGTAACGGCGATCTTCTCGTTTACCAATGACATAGTGACCATGAAAAAACATCTCGGATCTTAATCCTCAATGTCCTGTGGTTCCATCTGAACCACTGCCTAAATAGATAAAAACTTTTAGGCCAATGGTGTTATTTATTGAGATTCTTCATGTTATGATGTCTCTGAATATGACGACTTCTTAAGTTCGACAGCGACATTTAGTTTGAAACTTTCTTGACCTTTGCGCGAAATTCACATCAAGGACGATGTCACTGTTCGAGTCTTATGAGAAACAGTATGGAAATCTGACTAGCGACATAACATTCAAGCTAGGAAAAATTCCCCAGTTAAGTGGTGGTATGTTCCGTAAAACATTTTAGACTTTTGATTGATAAACCATTAACTTTATCTACTATGTCAGGTGAAAGGGCGAAAGAAGTACATGATGTGTCAATACTTTTTGACGAGACAAAGGAGTTAATTGAACAGATGTCTCTGGAAGTTCAGGAAATGCGATCTGACATCCGTCCCAAATTTCAAAATAGGCTTGAGTGTTACCGAAAAGAATTAGGAAAACTCACGACAGAATTCGTAAGCATTTTTCTAGTACTTAAATATTTTTAAAATTTTCTGCCTTTTCCTTATTTTATTTCTCATTTGGCTTGTGATTCTTTATATCTTATGTAGTTGTGCTTCATTATTATGGCTGCTCTTGTACATACAAAAGTATACTGTACAGTATACTCTTAGGTTTATTCATTCTAGAATTAGTAATAATTAAAAACTTATATCTTTACGCAAATTGTGTTTAAAAGATCTACTGTGAACAATCGCTTATTGACGAGCATTAATTGATAGACATCCTGCACCTCACATAATGGTTCTATCAGCTTGTGTCAAGAAATAATGATTGTAGTCGTTCGACTTGTATAACTTTTCAGGAAGTATGTTTCTCTCAACCCTCAAGAGATAGTTTTTTCTGAACAAATTTCACATATAAAATGTAATTATTGCTATGAAGTCGGGAAAACTAGAGGACACCTGGATGAAAAAATCTTATAGACTGCCTGCAGGCAGTTGGTAAATCACATGTGATTTAATGCATATATATATAATAAAAAAGCAAAAGAAAAAAAGTGGATACACTTCTTATATGTGGATCATAATTTGCCTTAGTTCGGAATTATATACAGGGTTTTTATCACGAACTGACATCAGCTATAATGCCAGAAATTTATTTAGCCAAATGGATAAAGGCTTTCCCACCAAAATCCAAGATATGTTATCTTATACCTGACTGACTCGTCCATAAACTATAGTCTCGCAGTTTTATTTGTTATAGCCGCTCAATTATCACGTTTTGTACAAAATTCCCTGTGAGTCGATCGTATGTTAGCATTAAGCACTGAAGTTGGCGCCGTGACCTTGAAATCTCTCAGACACTTCTGATTGGCTCGTCCATCAATTAGAGTCTCGCCCATTTATCTAATTTTTTCTGCAGTATAATAGAGATCATTCGATAGTTTGACTCATCCCAGTTACCTTCCATATGCTATACGGGGTGATGACAATAATCATTCTTGAATCATTTACAACCATTGGCTAAGACCACGTTCCAGAGTTATCTATCAGGCTTATGTAGTCCTTGTCTTGACACACAAATCAATAGCGTATAATATGCGACTCAGGGTATTGTTTGTGAAGTGAAAGAATTTTCTGATTTTATTATGTTCCTAAAATTGCTTTTCATGCTTTCGGCTTGCTGTTCTTTGTTGACTGACTGGTTTGATGAGACAGTCGAGTCATTAATTATAGAAATATCTGTGGCTTATGTATTCAGTTATTGATCGATGCCTCGGCTTAGCCGTATAACTGAATACCTCATATTTACCACCCTTATGTATCTTTCGTATAAGTTGTTACGTATTTGTACAATATTAAGCATAAAGATACTGCACCTCTCATCATGCAACCGCATCAGTCCCAGTACACGGATATAATGAAAAGCATAAACTTTAAATTGTCAAAATGTGAAGTACTTCTAAAGAACTAAAAGGAACCCGTTGCAGTGTTCACAACGTTTAACAAGCCACTAAAGATATTCTCAGGTTCGTGTAAATGGGTAGCTTTTAAGTACTGATTATGGTGGCAGACGGAATCACTTTGCATGCAGCCAAAATCAAAACTATTTGTATCCATAAGATCTACCTAAGGGTTCACCGTAAAGTTTTTCTAGTCACTGGAGACTAAGTGCACAAGTGCGTGGTCTAGAAAGTTGTATTAATTGAATTTTAAGTCTAGTCTCCGAACCGAGGATTTTCGAGTACTCTCTGTGTCCTATCATCATTACCTCATAAGTATTAGTTGTATCCAAGTTAACGTCGTGTTTTTAATTCTGAAGTTCTGTAATGTATGTCTAAGGAGTGGGAAAAGTCTTAGAACACTGTTGTCTTTGGTTTAGTGATGTCTAACGTATAACTCAGCGTCTCCATATCGTTTGTTGTTTGAGGACGCTAGGATGGTGAGAAAAGTAGTAGGTACTAAAGTTATGAAATACCATACTATATGGAAGTGTTTGTGACTCATGGACGCTAACTTCGTGTGACAAAAAAGACCAGTTGAAATCCGTTCAGTACTAATAACCTTGAGTCAACTGCTGAGTTCTTATTGATCGACCACTCTCTGGCTTCTCTTCACCCTGTAATTAAGCCCAGAAATCAGTGGCCAGCTTCAACTATGTATGTTTCAAACATATATTTTATAAACAGGTAGACCAGACCGTATCACGCCATAAAATAGTAAACAATGATTACATATGAGCAAGCTGAAAGTGGCCGCGAGTAAGGGAGACTGCGAATAATAAACTAGCGTCTTGTTTCTTACGTCAAGCTATTCCCCACACTCTGCCCCATATTCATCATCACAGAAAACAGTCCATATTTTTCAAGACTGAACTTTATTGTTTCCTTTGGTTGTGATTGTAGCGAACTGGTTTCGTTTTATTTTGTATAAAAGATATCTATTTAACAACAGCAAAATGCTCCGACTCAACCTTATTTGCAGATGTTTTCATACTGCTTGATATATTGTGCCACTGATCACGTGTACCTCCATATCACCAAATATTCTAATTATTATGAATAGGCTTATTTTCCTTTTTTCTCGGACCTGTTCCTTTCTCATGGTTTCTCTTGTGGAGTTAGTTCTAAACACCCAGTTTGATAAGTGTTAGTTACTTTCGGCAAATGTTTCAGCTGAATTTAGAATTTTCAATCACGTCTTTCGTTTAATTACGTTCTCATACATATTCAACAGGCTGATTCTGTGCTATAATGTCATTTTAAGGCTTGGTTGATGAAACCGTCGGATTATAGTATATATACCGACACAGTCAAAAATCATATATATTCTGGTTAGTATACCATTCACAAAAAATTCAATGCAAATAATTTTTGGGAATGTATACGAGTGCTATACTTTCTGTAAACTATACGTTTATGACACTCGCTAACATGGTTATGTTTTTATTAAATAAGCCTTCAAACATAGTTAAAAGTTAGTAATTGCGTCGAAGTTAATCGATCTCTTAAAGTTATTTTCCGAAAATTGTATGAAATGTATATTGAATTAAAAACTATTTTCCACTTCTTATAGACTTCGGTTATTTATCATATATTATATTTTAGTGCTGAGCTAAACGAATCCTTAAATAATATGCAATATGCTTACGTACCATTCAATTTTCCTTTGCATTATTTCTTCTACTTTTTCAAGCGGCGACCGCGGTATGCCGTTCGGCGCCCTGACCATAAGGATTCACGCGGTTCCGATGATGAGGACAATTTACACGAAGAGGTTTTGTTTGATACAGACATGAGAGCTCAACTTCTGAACAACACTGAACGAATATCTCGGACTACTACCAAATTGGAAGATGGTGTGCGAGTTGCTTTGGAAACAGAAGAAGTAGGTGGTCATATACTACAAGACTTAAGCGAGCAACGAGAAAAACTTCAAAGAAGTAGAGACAGGGTGAGTTAATTCGGTTTTTAATCATATTTTATTGTTATTCATTATCATTATAATCGACCTGTTTAGCAGTTTACTTCTCGTCAAAATTTGGCAATTAATTGTAATTCAGTATATGTATTTGTCTAAACGGACTTTTTTAAAAAGCGAAACAAATGAATAGAGGATTGATAAAAGTTAAGTAATATTACATTTTTCGTAGTAAAAAGAGTTAACTATGGATCAATTACCACAATTATTTTGAAGTGGATTCGCAATTTTCTCGTATCTGCATCTCTGATAACTGACTAATACTGTTTATTATTCAGCAACCTGTTAAATAACGTTTACTTAATCATATACCGAAGGATATATGGTATACATTTACCAAAAACCTCGGACTTTCATGTGAAGCATAACTCACATCTCTTGTCAAAAATTAAATTGGTGTATTTTCTGTGTTACAACATCACAAGATGTATCTGGATAACCAGAATCAGGCCTTACCTGTTGCCACTTACCAATATGTCCTAATGATGTACATCCTTTGTTCTCAGTCCCAGCCTAACGTCAACATAGTCTACTTAATCATCTTAGTCAATCACTCAACACTGATAACCCTTTATTTCTTCTTAATCACTTAACATAACGAGAGCGTAACTGTAGGTGTAATGTAGACACTTCTAGTGATGAAATCGTGTTGCCCCGCATCTCATTAAAGGAAGTGACAAGAATCCAACTCCTTCAATATTTAAGATGAGTGATTAGTATTGTAGTTCAAGAAGCATTGGTCTTATATATCTGAAGATCTCTTTCATCTTTCTTTTGTCTTCAATGATCTTGTGTACTACTTCGAGGATTTATTGACATAAGAAGACATTTGATTGAAATCTCAAGAGAACAGAATTTTCGTGGTAGTTTACACTGCGGTGCATTTTGCCCAAATGATGTTGAAAATATATGTTAAATAGTGATTAGTAGTCAGAAGTTATACTATCTTTACGAATTCATCCTATTAAGTAGCTTTTTACAGCCCATTTAATCAGAAGCATTGTGAAAACTTATTTATTATCCTTCACTTTACTTTCACAGCTTCGTCAGGCAGATTCTGATCTGAAAAAGAGCTCTCGAATACTTTCAGTAATGACTCGCAGGTAACTATCATTTCTTATATTTTCAACAAGTCATAGGCATTTTCGTTCAGAGACAGAAACTTTGTTAGTTGTTTCACATATTACGCGCCGTTAACCTATTTACTGACCAGTTTTTCTTCTAATGCATGAATTTGTTACTCATAACAAATTATCCACGTTTACGGTCCAGAGTTTTTGTTGGGATTTGATAGAGAAATAAAATCATGTGTAATATTTCCTAGTCCCTTTGGTTTCACCAGCTCATAGATTGAGGCTTTGTGCAGTTATAGAACTTAGTTCTGTACAGCTAGAATATGAGGCCATTCTTCTTGAGAGCAAACTGAAAGGCAATGTAGTGAAATAGGTTTTTGGTATATATGGTGCTAAACTATTAAGGTTATGTGAAACGGAACCTATGTGAACTGTCTATAGTTACTTAGTACTTTTGTGAAACAGATAGTTAGTTACTTACGAGGTTCTACGTTGTAACAGATACTGAGTATGAATATTATATTGTGTAGAGGGAGTTAAAAAACACGTTGTGTGGATCCTTTTTACTGCTCCATTACATTAAGACTTAAAATTCTTTAAACATTTATATATATTTGCCGCATTTATTGTGGTGTTTTCAAGTGAATTAATACCATGTCACTTAGTTCCGTTTTTAACGCGGAAGGGTTATGATATTTCAACAAATCTTTCAATGTTTATACATACATGAGCCTACATATTTCATACCAATTATAATCTTAATTTCATAATTTCTTATCGCATACTATAAAATAAATGAATAAGTACATGTTTTAGGATGTCAGTAAGGGATCATTACTGTTGTGCGGATTATGTTGTTTGTTTAAAAATATTCGAGCGTTATTTGCCAACTTCCTTATCTTGAAAATCACTACTGATTGAGGCTAAGAGAATAGCAACAGGCACAAAGCAATCAGAACAGTTAACAAATTACAATGCTTAAATTCTAGTTCAAATCATAGAAAGTTGGGTAATAGTATCACACAAAACGTTGCAGTAGCAGCTCCATTCCTTATCTTGTATTAGGGAAAAGTTATTCGTTTATAGTTTGTATATTTCTTTTTTGAATTTTTCTAGTCTGCATTTGGCAGTCATCTGCTTAATATTAAATGGTGTTAATCAAATAAGTGGCATACATACACTTCAGGACATAAAATTCATATGTAAGCAGTCTAGTTATTTGTCATTAGGTTATGTACTTCCTCCTCATCTGTGATTCTAGATTATTTTCATTTTCTTTCCCTTTTAGAATTCTTCAAAACAAATTCCTTCTAATCACTGTGATATTTCTGATTGTGTTAATATTTTTCTTAACCATATATCTGGTCACCCGTCGTGCGACAACACACGCGAACTCGTCTTCTGCTACAATAAACTCATCTCACCCATGACATGTAGTTATGTGTTTATGTTTCTGTAGGTGGTTCTTTTTACACCTAAGCAGACAAAGTGGTTTTTATTTATTCATAACTATCTCATTTTGTACTCCGGTATAGCGTATCTCATCACAGTACCTATTCTTTTTTGAAAAGTTTAATTACAATAAGTTGTACTTCCGAACAAGAATCATCAATTTGCTGTTCATCATTACTTTTTATTTGGTTTCTTCTGTTTTATACCTTATTTCTTCGACGGTTAGTTTGCTAATATCATTAAAAAATGTCATAAAGGTATATATAAGTGCTTTATTTTTAATATACTATAGTGACAAGTGTGCATACTCCGTCTGGTATTTTCGAGACTTTTCTAGGCAATTTTAGTCGCTAATTCGTTGGGATTAACAACGCTGATATTTTCAATACATATATCTTTCACTGGACGTTCGTAATGAGTCTGGACCTCTTCCATTTTATCCAGAGTTAAACTTCCTTCAATTACACGCCTAAAACAGAAGATCAACAATATCAATGTTTATCAAAATGTTTACATGTGATGTTAGGTAAAACTGCTGACAATAGAGGTAAACATCGGAACTTGTTAATTAAATCTGTGTATCTTGGTGATCTGTCATCAAGTAATATAAATACTGGTAAAAGGGCAAAAGCATAAACTAGCGAATTATAAAATAACGTTGACTTGAGGTTGATTGAATTATTAACTGGGGTTTCAGTGCAATAAAAAGACATCCAGGTAGCTTACATACAACTTTCCAACTGGTGCTATAATATACTACCTATGATTTAGTGATTTTTGTTGAGTCTTTATCACTCAAAGTAACAAAGATCATATATTATATGTACCTTGTGAGAAATTCAAATAATGTGGGTTTTGTGAGCATAACGGATAAAATCATCTCGTTAACGTCCTGAGCATACATTATAACCTCCTGGTTAGGTTGCTAAATACAATGGTAAGGACGATTTCATTGGGTCTCTGTCGTTTTCTATATAGTGTTTACGTCTAGTTGTTTTGCTATTTCAGGATTTGAGAATTACCAAAGGGAAGTATACTTCTGTCATCATGTAATATGTATTTTTCGTTAATCCTGCATCCATTAAATAGTACAAAATGTAGACAGGAATATTTCGCTGTCGATTCCTTAGTGTGCCTGCTGAAAGTTGACCAAAAATGGTAAAGATACGGGTTCTGTGAATAGTGTTAGAGATAAGTGAAGCGAACAAAATTATGAAATCGTTTAGCTGAATTCGCTATAGCGTTCTTATCACGTTCCACTGTACAATAAACAATCAAAAGTTGTAAGATATTGATTGAAAATAAATCAGACACCATATACCAATAATTAATTTATAGTTCCAGGCGTCAAAAAATGTAGAAGCTTCAAACTCCAATTGTAAATCTGTCATCGCAACACATTTACAAAGTGCCAAAACTTACCCAAATGCTACGTAGCGGTTATCCATCCATTCAGCTGGTGCCAGTGTAATGAGGAACTGTGAACCATTTGTGTGACGTCCAGAATTAGCCATACTTAGAATTCCGCGTCGATCATGCTTGATGATATAATTTTCATCTTGGTTGGTGGAAATTAGACGTATGGTTTAAAGCTTTTATGAGTGTCTGTGGGAAGAATAATTACTGAAGCAACTTGCTAACTAATAATAATTGATCCCCTGTTTTCTAAAACTCGAGATATTGTTACACTTATCGAATTGGAGTTCCTATGAAAGTGTAAGTTAAAAGCCGCTTTAGTCGCCCACAAACCAAGATATCTTGCCGAATGTCGTCTGTTTTCTTAATTAAGTTGTATTTGTCTCGAAAATACCAATATTCAGTTGTCAGTAATAAGTACATAGGGGTGTGATAAATCGTGCTTATCTCGATTTTAAACTTCTGATAACTTTATAGTATAATCCAACAACTTAGATCACGTCATTTACATTTATTACCTATCAAGACATTTTAGACTTGAAAAGTAAGAATGACAAAGTTTGTACACTGATTTATATTTACTTGGATTGGGTGATGTATTATCCTTGGTAGTTACTTGTCCTTAAAGTTCTCTCGGTACATAACATAAAGTAAATGAGAGGATTACTGCATAGTTCCTTTCATTCTAAATAAAAATGGGATAAGTTTCATATAGATTATGGTGTTGTGAAATTATAGTATCGTGACCTCTATATTAACTATAGATTTAAACATTCCAACGCCCATTTGAAATGAATACTTAAGTAGTGCCTTTAAATTAAACAACCCATACTTTTAATAAGGTGGCTCCAAAGAAAATGGGCTAAATAAGGTATGGTCACCGTTTTTAAATTTAGATTTTATCCAAATGCTTGACTATGCTAGCTAACATTGTATAACCAATTAACTTCGGTGCTACGATTCTCAACAGTGTAAAACAAGAGTCACAACATCAACTGTTAAGGAATAATGTATTTCAACCACATAGAACCAGGAGGCAATAAAAGTGAATTACGACAGTAATAATAAGTCATTATATATATCCTGAACAAAACAAAGCGCATACATCTAATGGTGTTAGATCAACACACACAAGCCTTCACCATTTGAAAATGTTTATGAATGAACGTTCGCAATTGGTAATGTAAATGTAAAACAACAACTACTATTAGAATATTCCCCTGAGCGTGGGTTGTTTGTGTGTCTTTTTATAACTTTTCATATAAATATACACTTGCAGGTGCATAATATGCCGCTGAGAAACATTCCTGGGTTATGAACTCTACTAATTCTAGTGTTTTTCTAGGGTAGTTTAGGGGTTTAGAGAATTTTTATATCTACTTCTAACTCTCAGAAAACAACTAACAGTAATTTCTTCCAGTCTGAACGTGAAAAATATAACGATTGCGAATTTTGTCTGGTATACTTTTACATTTGTGCGACAGCTAATTAGATGAACACGTAACAGAAGGTAAAAGTGTTCTAACAACGGAAGTTTTACATTGTGATTGGTAGTTCTGAACACATGAGATAATTTGCAGTTCATTACGGACTAGCGATCTAGAAACATTTTAATACCAGTTTCGGTATTAAAATACTAGCTATACAAAGTTATACTTTATACCCAGTACATGAAAACGGTCTCTTATGAAGTTAAAAATAAAAAAAGCATGAATGTTTTAGTGGGGAACACACCAATTTAGTACTTGTGAAGGTTAATATTTAATTGACGAAAGTGAATTACCTTCAAATACTGGACCATAGATTGAACGACCATCATTTCCTCTGTTGTACAAAATATCTAAAGCAAAGTAGGTTGCATAGCTATTGTACCTCCACCTTGAATCCATCCATTTCTTACCAAACGGAAAAATTTTGTACCCTTATAATTCATTCTATATTTCTCCACCTCGTTTTTCTTAATCACTCCATACTCGCCAGTACACAATGACCTGAAATTTTCACATGTTTTTGGCACAAAGTCAGAGTATAACTAAGACTTCGACTTCTGAACAAGTTATCATACCTCAAGTAGTAAAATGCCACACTTCTCCCCATCGATTGATATATGCATGGAAATATATATTCTCTAAATAATTATAGGGTAGTTATTCAACATCTTGTGCGGAATCAGTCTTACATTAAAACGAAGTAGTCTTTTTTTATAGGCATCAACTGCCAATGCGCTGTATAATGTCATAGGACGATAGTCAGTAATGTTGAATTCCCTTTCAGCCCAATTCGCTAGATCCTCTTCCGAACCTAGTGGAACTCCATCTATTATGACCAAAACATCATGATTATAGATCCAGTATGCTCCGCCAAGTTTCTGGATATGATAAATACATATATGAACACACTTTCTTTGTTGTCCTTATGAAGTCCGCCCATTCAAACTCAAACATTCCACATATTCTAGGCTGTTCAAATATTTCATGGTGTGATTCATGAAGATCCTGCACTGATTTATGAAGTAAAACTAATACTCACAGAGGCCAAGAGGCTTGCCTTCTGAAAACTTTCTTTATGAACCAAACCATATATCTCTATAACCATGAAGTATTTTACTGAAATGTGATATTTGTCAGATGCTATGGTTACTGTTAGGTGGTTCAATCAAACGCCTGAAATCATGTTTGCGAAGGTTCAACCGTGAATTCGTCTTGTAAAGATATTCTTGCTGATGATTTCCCTTTTTCTCGAATTTTAGGTACCAGTATAGACTTTAAATTTGTATTGTTACATAAATCATCCATCGCGCGCTATTTAAAAAGGACAGTGGTATTTTTCCTCGCTGAGTAAATTTCATTGTTTTGATCGTTTATTACGTATCAAGACTACTGTTTTTCACTTTAATTGAATTTATTTCAGTTAAAGTATTCGACTAAAGTATCGTTTTTACTGTTCTCTCAATTAGTTTTGTCGTTGGTACTCTAGTACCTCTTTTTCAACTGTATCTGTTAGTACTTTTGGTCCTAGCAATCTACAGCTCTTCACTTTTTTGGTCATTGATAATTTTTTTGTTTCTGGGTATCATCGCATATTAAAAAACCTCCCAAATGACTGGACAGTGTAAAAAAAGCAGTTGCCGACGTCCGGGTTGTCGTTATCCTGTTGAAAGCGGCATGCAGTGCGACGAGTGCAAAGGCTGGTACCACGAAGTTTGCACGAACTTAACGCCTGCTGCTTTCAAACGGTTCAGTAAGAAGGGTTGTGTGTGGCTTTGTCAACAGTGCTGCTCGGATGCAAACAGCTTGTTAACCGAGGTCATCTCACTGATTGATGCTGCCAAGAAGTGTTTCAACAAGCATAGTCGGAGCGCGTCAAACAGCACTCGATCTGTTGACACGCAAATCAATGTGAAGGAAACTAAGGTGAGTCCGGTGATAGATGACTCACGCCCGTCAAAGAAGGAAAAGCAGTCTCCAAAGGGGCCTGCTTTAAAAAAAAGCTCAAGAAAAGTAGGGTCTTCTGTTCCCCGTCTCCCAGATGGGATCCAACAGGAAACACCTAGGAGCCGCAATCGCAAGTCTCGATCGGTTTCAAATGGTAAACATAACACGACCCCTCAGGTCGTCGACAACCCCCCAAAACCCAACACTAGGTTTGACGCAACTGCTATTGCTTCTACCAGCAGCGTTGACGAATGGGTAAAGGTTGTAAGGAAGAAAAGTATTGATATAAAAGGGAAACCTGCCCCCGCAAAAGTGGTTGAAAAACCGAAAGCTGATCATAGCGACAGATCAGCTATTTTTCATAGAATTAAGGAGAGCGATAGCTCTGAACCTAAAGCTCGTTTTGAGCATGACATTGTACTGAT